GTGAGAGTGGAAAGAGAGGAAGGTGCGTAGGAACGGCGGCTGAGAAAGAGCCTGGGAGAGCTGGGAAAGAGCGTAGGAGACGTGAACAGTGGGAGAGAGGGGATCGGAGATGAGATTGGAGAAGCAAAGAAGGCAAATTGAGCCTCCTTCCTGTGTGTGGAGGCAGAGCGATGATGGGTGGGCATGGGAGCATGATTTTGGAGGAATGGATCGATCATCTTCACTCTGCAGAGGATGGGCGTGGATCATTTCTGGTAATGAGATGGGAGTAGGTTTTCGAAATTTTGGCGCCAAAACGGTTGAAATTTTTTCAATATATACCTCATCAAACAACTCATAGCTTCCATTTTGGAAACCAACTTTGAATTTTACTTCATCCGCTCCGTGTACCCATTCTCAATAATTTCATTTTCCCAACATGTTGAGCTTATGCTGTAAAATTCCATAATTAATTATTTTATTTTTAATTTAATATTATTTATTATATAAATTTTTTTAAGTAATTAATATAATTTTAAATATTACTTGGTACGTAAATAGAGTTGGGTGTCATATGCCAGTAATGTTATTGGTATGTTTTTTTTTAATTGTTATAAATTATTTTTTCTCTGGAAATTCTTTAATTAAGAAGATTAATATTTCACAAGATAATCATATGCGACTCGATTTTAATTATGAATGAGCTATGAACTCTTACCTCATTGACTTGCATGAGTGAACAAATTCAATATCTACTATTTTAGAGACTTAGCTAAGTAGTAAATTGAGAAAATAATTTCACCGGGTGGAATTCAATTTCCTTAAATACTAATTTAAGAACTTGCCAAGAATGACTTGATTTATGGTTGCATCCTAAAAAATGTTCATTAGACATTCAGTGGTGCTATTGGCAAGATTGGATAAAATGAACTTTTAATCTAATTGTAGTTACGAACAATTTGTAATAATCAACTTGGTTGTAATGATTATAGTAATGAACACAACACGCTCAAGAATGCATGAGCAGACAAATTTGTTGGATCACCCAAATTTAGAGGGTAAATAGAGTTTTTTTTTTTTTTTTTTTTTTTTTTAAAAAAAAACTATTTTTCTTAATTTTTCTTAACTTTTAATCTAACTATTTTTTTTTTTTTTTTTTT